GTACATATTGTAACAACTATATTTTTACACATATGAAGTACAATCTATCTTCATTGCATAACAAAGAAATGCATAATAATAGCCAACAATCACCAATGTTGTATAGACAAAGCATAACAAAAAATGCATAGTTATGATGTCTCCTTTCATTTTCCCGTGCTCCTTTAACCAAACCTGCACATATCTTTCTTTTATTTTTAAGTATAGTAAAAACTGGCTAATAAGTTTTACTTGGATCTTTCTTTTATTATTCTTCATATGAAAAAGTCATAAAATAACCTAATGCTCTGTTTGGTTTGATGGAAAAATGGAAGGATAAAAAGTTGGAGGGGTAAATAAAACATCATGTTTGGTAAGGAAGGAAAATAGTAAGGATGAAAATGTGGATGAATTAACTTTTCTTCTAACTCACCAAAATCAATCCCTCCAAACTCAGAAGGAAAGTGATGGAAAGTTAATTATTTGTATTTAGATGTATTTTATTTTTCTATATATTATGTATACATTAATTTCATATAAAAATACAATGATAAAATATGTATTTATATATATATATTAAAAAATAAAAATTAAAAATATTTAAATTAAAAAATATTTTTTTCATCTTAACTAGGGGTGAAAATTTTTGACTCAACACGATTCGAACTCGATACAAATTTTATGACACGAACTTGATTATAACTTGACACGAACTTGAAAATGACCTGATACGCTAATAAGAAATATAAAAGGCTCAAAATTTTATGATTCAACACGAATCTGACACGCTATGACTCGATTGTCACCCCTAATCTTAGCCAGCACAAAAAAAAAAATTAGTTACTTTTATTTTCCATCCATCAAACCACACACAAAGGAAGAAAAGTGTATTATTCTTACTTTTCATCCTTAAATGGTAGAAAGTGTATCTCTCTTACTTTCCATCCTTCTTAATTTTCATTCTTCCTACCAAACGGAGCATAAGAGTTCTCATGCCCAAAAAGTATAGCGCATGTATTTGAAAATTAAGTTTTTCTTTAACTTTTTTTTATGTAGACAAGATCAAAGAGGGCACAGATGCCCAACACTAACATGGTGCCTTTTTAGATGCATCCCATTTCTTAGCATTAAAGTGGTAAATCTTGATAGAATTGATCAATGAGAATAGAGAAGAGAAGAGAAGAGAAGAGAAGAGAATAGAAGAGAAGAGAAAGAGAAAGGGAGAATATATTATTCATTAAGAAGTCTGTAATACACAGCTTAACCTAGAAATACACAAAGTAACCCTTATATAGTAGGGCAACACAACATAAAGAAAATACCTAAACTACCCTTATTATGAATACTCTAACACCCCCGCTCAAACTCGTGATGTGGTAGAAAACATCAAGAATTTGCTAAGAAAAAATCTAAAACGTGCTATGGTATGAGACTTCGTAAAAAAATTCGCTATCTGCATTGTGGAAGGAAGAAAGGGGAGAGTGATGGTGCCCTGCTGTAGATGATGATGCACAAAGTGACAATCAATCTCAATGTGTTTTGTGCGCTCATGGAAGATCGAGTTATGAGCAATCTGAATAGCACTGGTGTTGTCGCAGAACATAAGAGTAGGAGATGATACCAAAATGTCAAGATCAGCAAGGAGCCATCGTAACCAGACTATCTTAGCTGTAGTAGATGCCATGGCACGATACTCAGCTTCAGCAGAAGAACGAGTAACAACAGTTTATTTTTTACTTTTCCAGGAAATAAGAGAATTTCTAAGAAATAGGCAGAAACCAGTGGTGGACTTGCGATCCATAGAGTCACCAGCTCAGTCAGCATTAGAGTAAGCCCTGAGTTCCATAGAGGAAGAGTGAGGAAAGAGTAAACTCTGATGTAGAGTACCACGGAGATACCGAATAATGCGAAGAACAGCAACCCAGTGAACGGTGGTAGGTGAGGCAACAAATTGACTCACAATATGAACAACATAAGAGATATTCGGACGAGTGACAGTAAGATATACTAAACTTCTAACAATAGTCCGATAGAGGGTCGGGTCAGATAAGGGAGTACCGTCAGACAAAGAGTAACGAACATTGAGCTCTAAAGGTGTCTTAACTGTTCGACTGTCCGATTATCTGATAAACGAGCTCGTTCAATAACATCTGAAGCGTACTTGGACTGAGAAAAAAGATATACTTTAGGCGAGGAAGCAATCTCAATACCCAAGAAATATCTAAGCTGTCCCAAATCTTTCATCTCAAAATGGTCCTGCAACTGAATTTTCAATAAGCATATGTTAGCAGTGTCATCACCAGCAAACTTTATGTTTCTCGCCATGTTGTTTTTATGGAGTCCCATATATCAGAGTGAACAAGATCAAATGGTGCAAGAGAACACGTAACACTTTTATTGAATGACAATGCACTAAATTTAGCCAACTTACATCTACTACAATCAGATATGTCATGGCTTCCTAAACTACCCAAACTACCAGTCGAGGCTAAAAATTTTAAACGAGAATAAGAAATATGACCAAGACGAGAATGTCATAAATAAAAATTAGATGACTCTGGATTCAAATGAAAAGAAGATAAATCAACAGTAAAAGCATCAGCATCAGCAACTGGGACATGTAGCCCCTCCAACACATATAATCCGCCCTGTCTACGGCCAGTCCCAATCAGCTTCTTGGATCGTGGATCCTACACAACACAACTAGAGGAAGAGAAATGAATCAAAAATTCATAATCAAATAGTTGACTGACTGAAAGTAAATTCAAAGTAAGTTGAAGAATATAATAGACGTCTGAAAGTGTAAGGTTGGAAGAAATAATGGTCCCAACACCAGCTAATGATATGTGAAAACCATTGGCAGCAAGGACAGATAAAGAGGGAGGAGAAACAATAGATGCAAACAAAGAGGAGTCATTAGTCATATGATGTGTGACACCTGAGTCAAAGACCCAGGCAGTTCGTGATATACCTGAAGGACTTGAGTTGAACGAACCTATAGTGGGAGAAACTGTGAGAGTACCAGGCTGATGAAGAGAAAGAAACTTCTGTAGCTAATCTACAAGCATAGTTAGGTTGGGAGCTGATGAAGCTGACTCATCCACCGGTGGTGCTACGGCCGCTGTATGATATTCTCTGGACTTAAATGGTTGATTTTGAGATCCTCGTGCATTCTTGTTCATTAACTTTGGACATTGGGCCTTCCAGTGGCCATTTTCATGACAGAAGCTACACTCATCAGAACCAACTCGACCTTGAAATTTGTTTTGGGAATTAGAAGCCATTTTGGAAGGAACAGCCAAGACAGTCTGATTTGGTAGTGGAAGAAGACCCTTTCCAGAAAGGGTTTTAAGGCAAACATCTTCAGCTAAGAGCTCATTAACAACTGCATCCACTGAGGGGAGTGGGTGACGATGAAGAATGGAACCACGAAGTTCCTCGAAGTCATCCCTAAGGGCCATCAAGAATTGCACCAGCCTCTGTCCCTCTATGAAGGTGCGATATGCCAGATTAGTGCTCAACTCAGTGGGTTCAGTAAGTGTTAACTGATCCCAAAAACCAATCATAACAGAATAGAATTCTTGGATGGTTTTGTCCCTTTGATGCGCATCTCAAATCTCATGCTCTAGCTGATACCTCTTTGCAAACTTAGACTGAATAAAAAGTGTGGCCAAATAATCTCAAATTTCCGTAGCAGTGGTAAACTTGGATAGATGAACCCCAATGGTTTGATCAACTGAGTTATTAATTCAGGTAATAATTTTTGCATTGTTAATATCCCATGTACTCTTCAAATCAGTATAATTTTCTGTCTTAGTATCAGTCGGAGGCTGTCCAACACCACTAATATAATTCCACATGTCTTTCCCCAACAAATTTTTTTTCATAAAATAAGCCCAATAAACATAATTTTTACCAATTAATCTCACACTAATGGCTTGAAGTGAACAGAGTGACCACTTGACATTGTAGTAACAATTATCAATCGGCACCCCAGTCAAATTCAAACTTAGCAGCCCAGCAAAGCAAATAATCAACTACCGAAGCAAGCAAAAAACCCAACTCACCCATAGCTGCTGAAACAAGCCAACCAGTCCAGAATTGCCAAAGCCACAACAAGAAAACCACCCACAGCTGAGGATTTGAAGATCAAAGTAACCCACAAAGACTTTTGGCTGCTGTTCTTACCGTGAACAGTAGCCCGATAGTCCCAAGCAACAAGTAGACACTAAAATCAAACCAAAGACCTTCAAATCACACAAACAGCCAACCTATGCTCTTAAACGCACCCTTTAGACTCGATTGGAAACAAGTAATTCGAGAAAGACAGTCCCAATTCATAGATCGAAAAATAGGGCCGAGATTTTTGAAAAATCATTCAAAAATTAGAAAACCCTATCCAATGACCTCCAAATCAAAAACAAAGCATACTATTGAAAAACCCATGAAGAATCGAGTACTGTAGTACTTTCCTCACTCTAGTTTGATGATGTCAGCAATGACAGATTGATGACGTCAGCCCTAGTTCAGAAGAGAATGAAGCATGTATTGTGTTCTTAAAAAAAATTTAAGAATGCTAAGATCAAACCATGCTTTGATACCATGATAGAATTGATCAATGAGAATAGAGAAGAGAAAGAGAAAGAGATAATATATTATTCATTAAGAAGTCTGTAATACACAGTTTAACCTAGAAATACACAAAGTAACCCTTATATAGTAGGGCAACACAATATAAAGAAAATGCCTAAACTACCCTTATTATGAATACTCTAACAAATCTAGCCTGTGACGATGGAGATTGGTTGAACTATTGTTAAAGTTGTGGCATTGCATCACATCTTCACTGCTTTTCCTTGGCCTAAGAAATTTGCCCTAAATTACTACGTTATTACTGGACATAGGTTATGTATGGAGGAATAAATTTTGTGATGCAGGTGCAGAATTTCCTGCAATATCACACTATTGAGTGACACCCGACCAAAACAAGAGAAAAGAAACCATTGGAGGTACTGGTGGGAATGTTAACAAGGACCACTTTTTGTCTGAGGTAGTCCTTTTACCGGCTGGTTTATGGAATCACAAGAATGTTCTTGCATTTCATGCTTAGACCAATATTTCCATTGTGGTTGGAACTATAGTTAAACAGTAGGGAATAAAAGTGCAGAGTTAAGCAATGGCTTACTGCTTAGATTTTTTTTCTTTTTTGTGGGGAACTTTCAAAGATTGTGGGTGCCCAAGAATATATTGCAAATAGATGATATGTGCCATTTAATGTTCTGTCTCTCACTGGATGCTGCCTTCTTATCACAAGTTCTTTTGGAAGCTTTGCTTTCTTACACTTGGATGGCTTGTATTGTGCAGATACATGGGTACAATTACTGGGATTGGCGACTTAGATCCTGTTCGCTGGCCAAATTCTCACTGGCGATCCGTCAAGGTAAATGAAGCTATTATGCATAGAGTCATAGACAACTAGTAAATGAGAACACAGTTGTGCATATCCTTGTCCTTGTTTAAATTTGGTACTAATGTATTCTCTTGGTCAAATGGGCCCTGCTTTGAGCTTTAATTAGGTAATGTTTCTGTATTAATTTTTGCTCGGCTTATTGCTCAAAATTCGTTCCAAAGACAAATCTTAATCAGAAACTTTTTGTTTGTCCACCTTTAACTTCTTTTCATTAATTTTTTCTTGTGCTTTGTAACAAATATTTTATAGAATCAGTTATATTGTACTTAAAGAAATAGTGCATCACATAGTGTATTTTATTTTCCAGATTAGTCATGCACTGTCATTATAGGATACCCTCTTCTTTCAATGGAATCAAAGTATGGGTGAAATATTTATGGATTGCATTAGAGGTTGAAATGTTTACGTTTGATGGTTAGTTGCCTGAATACTCTTTAAGTAAAGACAAGCTGTGAGAATTAGTAACTTTAGTTACCATTTGTTGTTTGGAATCCAATCCAGCCAAATAGGGGTTCTGCCAATATATGGTTTAATTACTTATTCAAGTCTAATGTCAAAATCTAGTGCGAGGAACCTGATTATGTGCAAGTGGGGAGCTTTTCAAAGTCAGGGGGACAATAAACAGGTTTGAACAAAAATGGGTCTGGACATATGGGATGGATGAATCTACATTGGTAGGTTGGGCTACATCAGAAATCAAGAATAAGTAAGATGAGTCATTTCAGCAGAATCTGTAAAAGGACTTATTTTGAGGGCAATGGTAGGATTCTGTTATGATATACTTGATGTATTTGAGAGTAACAAGGGATACAAACTAAGTCTAGAGCCCCGTATATATATAGCCAATGAACGTTACAATAAGGATAAGAAGGTAAAAAAAGAAAACTTAATAAACCCTAATAAACTAGGCTGCTGTTATATCTCTAACACTTCCCCTCAAGTTAGGCGTGAAAATGTTAACTAAGCAAAGCTTGACAACGGAGTCCCGAAGAATGGATAGAGTGACAGGTTTGGTGAAAACATCCGCAACCTGATCACTGGTCCCCACGAATGATGGAGTGACAATACCACTATTAACCTTTTCTCGAAGAAAGTGAACATCGATCTCTATATGCTTTGTTATCTCATGTAATACAGAGTCAGAAGCGAGTTGAATAGCAGATCGATTATCATAATATAATATAGACGAAGAAGTTACTGAAAATCCTAACTCGCCAAGAATCGTTCGTAGCCTGATAATCTCACATGTGCCAAGTGCCAAGTGCCAGTGCTCGATACTCTGCCTCTGCTGACGAGCGAGAGACAACTGACTGCTTCTTGCTCTTCCAAGAGATAAGATGAGTCCCTCGAAAAGTACAGAAGTTCATAGTAGATCGACCATCACATGTTCTCCCATACTCCCCCATAATCCGAATCTGAATAACATGTTAGAGAACCAGTCTGAGATCCTGATGCATAGAACAACCCAAGTCCAGGACAAGACTTGAGGTATCGAAGAATATGATAAACTGCATCAAGATGAGGCTGACACGGCCTGTGCATGAACTGACTAACTCGGCTGATAACAAATGAAATGTTTGGCCTAGTGTTAGCTAGGTTGATAAGTCTACCTACCAACCTTTGATAGACAATCGGATCTTTCAACTCTTCACCTTCAACAGTCAGCTTCAGGTTTGGAATCATGGGTGATGATGCCGGTTTGCACCCCAGCATCCCAGAATCTGAAAGAAGATCCAGAACATACTTTCTCTGAGAAAGAACAACACCCGTGTTGTTACGGGCAACCTCAATCTCAAGAAAGTATCTCAGAAATTCAAGGTCCTTCACAACGAAGACCTTCCCAATGTCTACCTTGACCTGCGCAGTCTTAGAAATATCATCCCCAGTAATAATAATATTATTAATATATACTAAAAGGATAACAAACTGTCTAGAAGTATTCCGTCAAATAAAGCAGGTATGATCAGAATGATATCTGGGGAACCTTAAACATATGACTACATCACTAAAGCGAGAGAACCAGGCTTGTGGTGACTGTTTCAGTCCATAAAGAGACTTACGCAGTCAACATACCTTTCCAGTATACTCCCCCTCACCACGAAAGTCTGGTGGTGCATCCATATAAATAATCTCGTCCAGATCACCGTGAAGAAACGCATTCTTCACATCTAACTGATGAAGAGGTCAAGAGTACTCTGCAGCCAGAGAAATAACCAACCGAATAGTAGTCAATTTTGCCACGGGGGCAAATGTAGCACCAAAATCACGACCTGGTACCTGAGTAAAGCCTTTCGCCACAAGCCTAGCCTTGTGACGATCAATAGTACCATCCGCAAGAAACTTCAGGATGTAAACCCAACGACAGCCAACAGGTTTCACCCCTGAAGGTAAATAGACAAGATCCCAAGTATGATTATGCTGAAGAGCGTCCATCTCCGTTTGCATGGCAAGAACCCATTGGGGCTCCCGCATAGCCTCCGAAACAGAGCGAGGAACTGGTGTATCTAATAAGGCCCTACTATAAGCTCGAAATATAGGAGACAAATCACCATAAGAAACATAAGCAGAGATTATATATAAAATCTTGACGGTCTAACCATAACGATCAACTGGACGGCGATCACGTCGTAGATAACGACACTCTAAATCATCATCTTCCATTGACAATGTCTCGTCAGGTAAAATAACTGGCTCAGTACTTGCAATCTCATTAGTACTAACAATAGGGGCATCAATATGCTCAACAAATTGAGGAGTATTACTTGCATCGCTTGAGGTAGAGGGGACATCAGCAGGGGGATGAGTGTGAGGGCAACGAACATAAACCTGCAAAGGAAGAGAGTCTGGTGACTCTGTACCAGGGATGAGTGGTTCTGGAGGAGGAGATACCGATGACTCTGTAGTGATAGTGACCAATGGCTCTGGCTTCGGGGATAATGAAAAATTAAAGGAAGTATCATTAACTGGAGGTGCAGACACAGGACTGGAAGAAAAATAAGGGATATGCTCAAGAAAGGTAACATTTAGACTGTGATACATACGGCGCCTAACAGGATCATAACACTGATATCCCTTAGACTGACTGCAATAGCCCACAAAAATACAACGAATTGCTTTATCATCAAGCTTATGACGAGTAGGAGACCGATCTTGAACAAAACATGTGCATCCAAAAATATGAGGAGGGATCGAAAAAAATGTTCGCTCAGGAAATAAAACCTGTAAGGGAGCCCTATGCTGAAGAACTCGACTCTACGTATGATTGCACAGAAAGGTAGAAGTCAAAATAGCAAAATGCCAATAAGATTTTGGCACCCCATGCTTCTAAGCATACAACGTACCATCCCTATCAAATTCCTATTTTTCTTTTCAGCAACGCCATTTTGCTTAGGAGTATATGGACAAGTGAGTTGCTGAAAGATACCTTGAGAAGAAAGGTGAGACAGTAAGACATCAGACACATATTTTTTGGCATTATCTGAACGAAAAGTACGAACAATGACATCGAATTGTGTCTTAATCATCTGCAGAAACTGAGTGATTATAGGGAGTACATCGGACTTCCTATGCAAAAGGTAGACCCAAGTACAACGGGTATGGTCATCTATAAATGTCACATAGTATCGAGCACCTGATAGAGCAGTAATAAGAGAGGGTTCCTAAATATCAGAGTGTATTAGGTCAAATGGCTTGGGTGACTGGTGCATGAGAGGAATATAACTGGTCCCAATATGTTTTGACTGGGACCATATAACACAGTCAAGTTTACCACTAACACAAGTTTTGCTCAAAGCAGGAAATAACTTACATAAATATTTAAAATTTGTATGCTCAAAACGGTCATGCCACAACTGAACAGTTTGTGACGAAAAATCATAACGACATGTACTAGGTAAAATATTAGCATGCAAGCTAGGGACAGATAAAGACAGTAGGTGATGGAGGTGGAGAAACTGGTGAAACCAGAGGTGGATCGCTTAAATAATACAGTCCACCTCTCTCATGTCCCTTGATAATAATCCTCCTGGTACTCAGGTCCTGCAAATAACACGAATCAGATAAGAACACAACCGCATAGTGAAAATCTCTGGCTAACTGATGTACAGATAGTAGATTCATGGCCAGCTTTGGTGCATGAAACACCAAACGTAATGTAAAACCATCTGGGAGGCGGACTGTACCTCTACTAACAATAGGGGCATGTGTACCATCTGCTAACTGAACTTAAGTATGTAACTTCTCGTCAAAAGAGGTGAAATGATGGGCCTCACCTGTAGTAGTCGCAGCAGTAGTAGTTGGACCTCAAGAAGTCAAGACTGACATAAGTATATCCAAGCGAGAAGTGATAGCATCCATATCACTCTTCCAAGGAGGAGCAGTAGCAGGAGCAATGACTGTAGGTGGTGGTGCCTTACCAATAACAGCAGTACGGCTACGAGAAGGCGGCTTAAGCTCCGGATGGGGCTTCCAACAAGTAGCCCTGAGATATCCTAGTTGGCGACAATAATCACACTGACGAGAATCCCCATATCTACGCTGATGTGGGGTACCTTGACGGCGCTGGGCCGATCATTGTCGACCCTTATATCCGGTGGAAGTACTAACAAATGTCTCAACAGTAGGGGTCTCAACTCCCTCTGTAGTAGGCATATCAACAATACTAGGGCACTCGTGACAGAAAAATAACTCTAAGATAAATAGAGAAATAAAATAAGGGAGAACAATATACCTTCAGTTGAATAGTAGTGACAAATAAAGAAGGTCCAAAAAACTCTCAAATAATTAGGTCATGGTACCCAAAAATTCAAAATATATAAATAAGTGATCTACTGCATCAAGGGCAGATCAACAGAGAAAAGGATTCAACCCCTCTTAAAAGATCTTAGAAGCTACAACTCTAGAAAAAAAGGTCGTGACGCAAAGAGTTGCGAGGAAGAGCGCGATCTAGTAGTGGGCTGGTTCGCTAGAATGGTTACTGGGCTGATTGGGTTATTGGGCTGGTTAGGTACTGGGCTTGTTGGGTTTTAGGTTCGTTTGGGCTTTGGGCTTTGATTTATTGATACGGTCTATGCAAGTCTATGTAACATAGATATAAACAATAGTGGGTAGTGGGTTGTTTTGTTTACTGGGTGGCTTGGGTTTTGGCAGTCGGTGGTTGGTTTTGGGTTGATTCTTTTCGGCACTGTTTTGTTTACTGGGTGGCTTGGGTTTTGGCAGTCGATGCTTGCTTGGTGGCTTTGGTTTGGTTTGATGAGGTTTGGTGGTGGGCAGTAGCAGTCGGTGGTTAAGGTTGATGAAGAGGTCGTCGATGGTTGGCTTTGGGCTAATTTTTTGGCACTGTTTTGTTTACTGGCTTGGGTTTTGGCAGTCGGTGCTTGCTTGGTGGCTTTGGTCTGGTGGGTTGATGTATTGGTTTGATTTGATGAGGTTTGGTCAGTCGGTGGGTACGTTCTCAGTGGTTGGGTGATTGGGTATGTTCTAGGTGAGGAGACAGTGGGTTGGCTTTTGATTTTTGGTTTTGTCGCCGGCAGTGGGCTAGCTTCTGTTGATGCTGGCTGTAGGGAAGGTGGTGGAGGCTAGGGTTAGGGTTGTGGCTCTGATACCAACTTGATGTATTGAGAGTAACAAGGGATACAAACTAAGTGTAGATCTCCGTATATATATAGCCAATGAAAGTTACAATAAGGATAAGAAGGTAAAAAGAGAACACTTAATAAGGCCTAATAAACTAGGTTGCTGCTATATCTCCAACAGATATTAAGACTTGTTTTAGAAAAGAAATCTCATCCTTGTCCTATTGCAAATAAATGGTTAGACAGGTATTACGAGGAGGGAAAGACCAGCATTGCTCTCCTTGAGATGGACTAGGGATATGTCTCATGGTCAAATTGATTGTAGCACTAGTATGGCAATCTCGTGAGAGACTATTATTGGGGTAATGTTAATGATAGATTTTGAGTTTATTCAGAAGGCATTGACAAGGTTGCTTAAGTTCCCCCGAAATTACTTCGATTCTAGAAAAATAATGCTTATTGTTTGATCCACTTTTTCATTTTCTTATGGAAAAACTTAAATGTGATTGAATAGTGGGAGATATTTGCTTGAATATGTTGGTTTTGGGCAATGTATAGTCCGTGCCTTTCTAGGATGGACAATTTATAAAATTGGAAATAAGGAAAACTAATTGAGCCTTATGGTTTCTGTGTCTCATAAATATCATATTGTGTGGTGCTTTGATGGTTGAAGCAGGTAAAGGTTGTGTATAGCCATAGTTAACCTAGAGATAAGTCAAGACTGGGGACAAGCTCACAGATGTTTGTGGCTTATGCTTCTACTTGGTGTATTGGAGGGTTATGGTTTTGAAGAAATCAGTTTCTTCCAGTCTACTGCTCAGTCAACCAGAACTCTGAACTGTTGTGACTATCCAGAGTTATCCCTTCTTGGGAATTGGTGTTGCCTCATTCTCACTTGCATTGTTTTTTCAAGATCTCCATTCCACATGTCCACTTTTTAGAAACTCAGCATCTGCGACATCTTTTTAGGGGGAGTTGAAGTTGGAAATGAAGAGTCAAGTGCATTGGGGATTGGAATGATATCCCGAACTGTTTCGTGGAGTGTTACGGCTAAGAATAATCTTGTAAAATCTTCAGAAACCTTGTCACGAGACGAGGTGGAAGGTTATGTGCTTATATGAAAAAATTGTGGGATTCTTTTCTTGCTTTTATTCTAGTCAAGGAAGAGTCTTTTTGAAGGATATGCTGTCTTGTTTATTTCCTTGATAAATTTGGAAAGAGAGAAAATCCACGGGTCAAATGGTTCATGTGTTTTATCTGAATTGCCATATGTGCATATCTCATAGTTGATTCTGCTTGAGGCATCAATGTATGTGGGGGTTGCCTCTTTGCCTGACTTTAATAATGAGCTTAGACATAGATCAGAATCTTGGGACATGCTCAAAATATATAAGGTCGTTGGTCTATCGGGGATTATTTCTTGCGAGTTTATCACTTTGTTTCCTAATTGTGTGTATTATAAGTCATTTGAATGCTATCCAAGTGACAAGTGCAAAGTTTGACTGGAGATCATGAATTAGATGTTCTTGCGATATATTTGTTTAAACGGTGGATTGGAAACCAGTCCCCTAAAAATATTTAAAGATATTTACCCAAATCTCCGCTTTGATACCTTCTAAAGCGAAATAGGCACGCACGGGTAGAGAGTCTGCCAGCGTTCTTGCGCTCAGGGGACGCCTCTTGTAGTGTAGCATTTGGGTTCAGCCTTCTACTTGCCAAGTTTGGCTTTTGACCTCTCTTTGAGTCTCCAGTTCATTACCTTCTACTACTGATCTTCTCCTACTACTAGCTTTGTTTGTTTCATTAAGCTCGCTTCTTTGTACTCTGGCTGAATTAAGTAATGGGAACTCATGGTTGTGTATGGCACTTAATCCAAGATGAAGATTTGGTAAATGAGGCTTATCTTAGATGCTGGAACGTTTCATATTTGCATCAAAGCTTAAAATTTTCAAAGAATAATTGAAGATCGGACAAATATAGGTATGGAAAATTGGGCACAAAAATTAATGGGCTTATGTTATGCTGATTTAGTTTTTGTCTAGTCTCTATTGGTGCTTAATAAACTATTGACTAGAAAAGTATATCCTTAAGGTACATATATCAACACTAGGGATGTAACCTATGGCAATCAATTTTTCTTGGGATTGAATCGAAGTTTTATTATTGATAGAATTTCCATGGCTGGAAAATGACGACAACACTTCTTGGATCCATAATTTGCCCTTTTACTGCACATTGTGTCTTGTGCTTATTCAAAAGCTGGATCAGATGGGGCACAAATAGCTTAGTTGCTTCCAAGATTATATTGCCTTCACTATTGTAAAAAGTGGCAATGTCCAACATCTGGTGGAGTCTTGCCAGGTTGGGCTTTTGCATCGTGATTGATGTAGATTCTTCCTGTCTAGAGCCCTAACATGCCTTGACTGAAGTTTTCAGTCCCCTATTTGAGCAAGTCATACTGGAACTTGTTGTGTCATGTCTATTCTCGTTGCACGTATTGAAAGGAATCGTATAATAAATGTAGCGGAATTTAAAAAATAATTTGATTTCTCATCCCAAGATCTATTCATATTTAATACAAACCGAAAATTCTAGATCTATAGAGAAGATTAAGAGTTAACTTTTGAAGCGTGTTTTTAACAATCTTGAAGCGTACTTTTAACGATCTTCAAGCTTTCTTAAAAATTTTGAATCTTTAAATTTGAATTTGATCTTTATTTCAAGTCTCGCAATCATTTGACTTCTATCGGTATCCACATGAATTGATAAACTTGAAGAATTTACCTCCATCTTTGATAAACTAGTAGAGAGAATAATTAGTGGATTTTCTTGTGCTAGCAAGAGAGTTGTTATCTAATCATCCATCTCTTATATGAAAGTATTTAGAGAGTCTTAGAAGACTCTAATCCTAATTTGGGTTTAGTTGTAATTATCTCATAATTACATATAACTTATTTATTAACTATTAATTATAATAAAGTCTCTAATTAACTCTTAATTAGGTTTTTACCCCAATTAACTCTTAATTAGTTTTCTCTCTTTTATTCTTTAGTTTTCAATTAATTGTATTGTGTGTGACCTTATAGGTTCAAGCATATCCGATTATAGGCATTCGATACTAACTACAAATAGCATCTCAAATTATAACTTTTTCTAATTTAGTTTGAATTAAAACTCTTCTAATTCTCGCTTTATGAAGAATAATATATATATATATATATATATATATATATATATTAATTTCGTTCTTCGGGTTTCTACTAATTATGAGTGAGACCTAGCCATATATCATGATCAATTTTCGGATAGCACGATGTAGGTAAATAACCCATTCAGTTTATAACTACCATGCAATTCAATGCTTCTATTGCAATACTCCAATTGAATCACTAGGGTATGAAATTACTATCAAACCCTTAACTCAATTTTATGTGTTCGATCTTAGGACTATAACTCTTAATGATCAATTAGAAACTCTTTTTCTAATTGTTATTTTGCCTTGGCCAAAGATTCCTTGAGTCATATCCTAGAAGATCACATAAGACATGATCTCTTTATTTATTAAGGGTGATAGATTCTATATTGTACACTCATAAGTCTCCATGCATGTTTAACTATGTCCAACAATACATATTCAGGTTACATGGTTAGTATATGAATATGTTGTCTAGTTGAAGTATAGAAGTTCATGCGCAAGACAACCATGGTGTCTCAGGTCTAAAGGATCGGTTGGGTAACTATAACTTTAGGATTTAAAATTGAAAGATATGTAAAATTCTATAAGAAAAATTTTACTTTAGTCAATGGTCACGTTTAGTGTACTTGTTTTCTAACAAACACTCACATATCTGCTTTCGTGTTCCTACACTAGTGACTTGGACGAGTCACCTCATATCAGATATGAGTAAACATAGTGTATACTAGTCTATCCGGATTATATAGTGCTTACATAATAATTCTATGATTAGGAATATTTAAGAGTTAAGTACTAAAAAGAATAGGTCTCCTCTTCTCAACTTCTTGAGAAACCATCTTTTTAACTTGTCCTCTCTGGACTATATCATGTATATTAAAATAAAATAAAGCAGAAACATGATAAATAAACTTATCATTTTATTTAATTAAGTAATGAATGTTTTTAGTACAACCCTAAAACATCATCTATATAATTGGATTTAGAGCATATTGCTAACACGTATGATATGGTACCTTGATTACCTTGCCCTTTTATTTTTTTCACCATTTTTCTTGGCTTGTGCACCTTCAACTATTGAAGGCAGCGTTCAAAGGTTTAAACATTTATCCACTAATCAACCACCGTTGGCAATTCATCCTACGGTCAGATTTCTGAACTTAGTGGCAGATATACTGGAATTAGTTTCCACTTTCTGGTATCTCATTATTCATTTACCTCAAGTAGTGCCTTGCCAATGGCTGCAAGAAAAGTTGCTTCCAATTGTTAGCATAGCACAACAAAAGTATCAACCCAATGTGTGACTATTTTCAGTGTTTCTTTTGTATTATGTAGGTCGGTTGGGACGAATCAACTGCAGGTGAGAGGCAGCCACGCGTATCATTGTGGGAAATTGAGCCTTTGACAACATTTCCCATGTATCCGTCGTTGTTTCCCCTTAGGCTGAAGCGACCTTGGTATCCTGGAGCCTCATCTTTTCAAGGTATCTTATTTCCATAGTTTTCTACCCTGACATTTGGTGCAGCCACCTCTTCTTATCCATTTGTTATCGACATGGCATGTTTAGTACATTTAGAATGATTTTGGCTCGTCCCAGTCATTTAGGTGGAGAACAAATGATTTACCATCAAAGAAAGTAAAAATAAAAGAAGAGTACATTATGTGGTATTGACAAAACATGGTTGGCTTTCATGCATATGATGAACTTTGGTTCTCAGCATCAGACATTTTCTCACTCGACTCCATGTATGTGTCAGGTGCAGATAACGTTTTTTAATCATTGTAAATTCATGCGTTAGTGTCATTACCACGTGGATCAATTTTTAGGGACAAAAGTGATGTCAATATGCAGTTGTGTTGCATGCGATACATCATTAAGTTTTAGTTTAGTTGATAGCCAATTGATTGCTGTGGCATTTTAAAAATCGCAACTCTTTCTTGGTTATTCTTTTCTTCTCTTTTGACTGTTTTTAATTTGTTTTCCTCCTTTGCTCTTATTACAGATGGTAGAGATGAAGCTGTTAATGGCATGTCGTGGCTAAGAGGGGGAACTGGTGAGCAAGGACTTCACTCCCAGAATTTTCAACCTGTTGGTATGTATCCCTGGCTGCAGCAGAGAGTCGATCCGACATTGCTCCAGCATGATCTTAATCAGCAGTACCAAGCCATGTTGGCCTCAGGTTTGCAGAATTCAGGAAGTGGAGATTCAATGAGACAGCAATTAATGCAGTTACAGCAGCCTGTCCAATATCTTCAACATTCAGGCAGCAACAATTTACTGTTGCAGCAGCAGCAGCAACAGCAAGTCATTCAGCAATCCATTTCTCCTCATATGCTGCATGCACAAAATCAAATGCTACCGGAGAATCTGTTCAAACCAATACAAGTGAATAATCGATCACAAGAACAGGAACAGCAGCATACTTATCAGGAGGCACATCTGATGCAAAGCGATCAGCTCCTGCAGAGGCAGCCATCAAATCTCCCCTCTCCTTCATTTTCTAAGACAGACTTCACAGCTTCAAACACCAAATTTCCAACTTCTATTGCTCCTCCCAGTGTGCAAAATATGCTGGGTTCACTTTGCCGTGAAGGGAGTGGTAATCTTTTGAATTTCTCAAGAACTGGTCACTCCATGCTCAGTGAGCAGCCACCACAACTGTCCTGGGTTACCAATTTTGCTCATCAACAAGGCCATACTTCTTCCAGTTCGGTGTCACTTTCACCATATCCTGGGAAAGATGCTGCTGTGGAGCAGGATACTTCTAGCTTGGATGCCCACAATCAAGCTCTTTACAGTGCTAATATTGACTCATCTGGGCTCCTACTCCCCACGACTGTCTCCAGTGTTGGTAGTTCTGCAATTGATGCTAGTATATCCTCCATGCCATTGGGGGCTTCTGCATTTCAGAGTTCTCTGTATGGCTACATGGAGGACTCGTCTGAGTTGTTGCATAGTGCAGGACAAGTTGACCCACAAAACCCAACTCGTACATTTGTTAAGGTGCTAGCCTTAGAGATATGAGCTATGTATGTTAGTGACAATTTAATGTATATTAGACTTTTGGATGGATAAGGCAATTTGTGCATGTGCAGGTTTACAAATCTGGGTCGGTTGGGAGGTCACTGGATATCACCCGTTTCACCAGCTATCATGAGCTGCGAGAGGAACTGGGTCAGATGTTCGGGATTGAAGGGTTGCTTGAAAACCCACAAAGATCAGGCTGGCAGCTTGTATTTGTCGACAGGGAGAATGATGTGCTTCTCCTTGGAGACGACCCATGGGAGTAAGTACTTCAGTACATTTATAAATGACCTAACCTGCTGGCTGTAACTGTATATTTGACATGGAGTCAATTCTTACATATTCTTTTAGCCTTCTGTTTTACTGTTTACCATATATTTTCTTTGGCCCTGTTGATGGTTTAACTAAGATATCCTTGGGGGGAAATTTTGAACATCTGGATTACCCGCTGAAATTGAATTGTCAGCCTATATAACCACATCATGATTTCTATGAACTCAATACACAAATTCTATGTGCAGGGCTTTTGTGAACAATGTCTGGTATATCAAGATCCTTTCACCGGAGGACGTGCTGAAACTGGGGAAGCAAGAGGCTGAATCATTGAGCCAAATTGCTGTTGAAAGGATGAACAGCAGTGGCACTGACAGCCGAGACCTTCTTTCTGGACTTCCATCTCTTGGATCACTTGAATACTGAGACTGGCAGAGCAGATTTCTATCCTCCCACGAAACTTCTCGTCTACTCTCTACTGCTGAAGATTCCAGAAGTTCCTATTATTTTGCACTTCATCACGTCTTAGTTGCTTTTAGTAGGTGTGATCACTCGTGGTTATGCCTCTGTATCGTGTTATGTCTATCCAATCACGTTTTATTAGAAGTCCATTAGTTTTGTTACCGAATCTGAACCTTAGGGACAGAACATACGCGATATTGATCTCCAAGATTCGAGAATCAGAAACTTGCGAAACATTTATGGACAATCTAATCTGATGCCCTGAACCTGAGACATGCAATCTTACTCTTCTGGAAGTACCATTTATTTCTCTTCTTACCCTCGTGCTTATTTTGCTTTTAAAACTTACTCCCTTCACCGGCTATGATACTTCAAACATTTGCACTAAACCGTGGATTCGGGGCGTTTTGGAGTCGAAGGGAGTTTACTACAAAAGTACACTAATTATGGAATTAGTGGATCTTATTGATCCAATTATCTACACTAATTTGGGATCTAAAATTTGATAAATAATTTGGTAAGTACAACATTGCTCTTAGATTAAAGATGATTGAACAGTTGTTACGATGGCTTGAGGATTTTCAGTTGAACTATATGGTTGGATGTAATTCATATTTGGTGAACCTGTCTACCCAGTAGAGTGATGTACCAATTCTTGATGTGTGATGTGAATATCTAATATCACCTTCTTCCCTTTTTAATAGAAGAATTGGCCCTCTTAACATTAATTAATAAAGTAACATAGTGTGATTAAATTTGTTGATTAGATTTATTACTCTCCATTGAATTGGATTTTTTCTCTTATTCGTCGGAAAATATTATCCTAAAGTATCACGCAGTTATATGCATCGGGTTGAAGATAAGGTCTTATCGCATATTTCGGGCATTAAAAAATATGTTTAATTTCACTAAATTAATATATATAGAGACTCGAATGCAAACCCGATCCCAAACATGAAACAAAAATTTCTGAATTCTCATCCAGTAAATCAACCGTTACAGTGATATCTATTGAATTGGATTGACAATGTGAATTGAATTTATGAACAATCCAACGATTAAATTTGGTAAGTGGCAGTAGTGTTTCTAATTTCGTTTTAGTCTTGTTGCCACGTGCCTCCATGTCATTGGTCAATGCCCAGCCATAAGAAAAGGAGATCTCCAACCTAAGAACAGAAAAGTCCAGTCCTCTTTGTCACGGCGGCTGAACCGGAGGAGTCCGGCGCTCCGGCGGGTGGCTGGTGAGCAGCACAACAACAAAAAGCATGGGACGGACGATGGAATGGGCAGCGCGTAGTAATCATTTGGGAGGAGTGCCCCGGAAGTTGGTGATCATGGCGGTTGGGGCTCTCGCAAAAGCCGCGGCAAATCTTCTCAACACAACCTCCGTCCACAATGCCGAAACCCTAATCCGCCTCGTCCGTTCCCGACCTCCTGGCGTTCCTCTTATCACTGTTAGCAATCATATGTCCACGTCAGTCAGTTAGTCTACTCTCTCACTCTAATTCTCCCTCTCTTTCTCGACCTTCACACTCACACGCGCACAAAAAGTTCTGTTTTGATATATTTATTTGAGTAAGATTTTGATTATTTTTTTGATCGGTAAGATTTCGATACCATGAATTGGAATTGGAGTTGGAGTTGAATTCGTTGTTGTAGAATGCAAACGGACGTATTTAATACAGACCTATGCTCAAACAACCAGTAAAGAAGCACATGGGGATTATTTTTAATCATGCTTTTCTCTAGCTTAGTGTTTATAGTAGGTTCCTCTTAAATGACTGCAATTATTACAGGTTTATGATTTGTTACCGGGATTCTTATATTTTTGTGACTGCTGCAGGGTGGATGATCCATTTATGTGGGGATTTAAGGGTTTTCCTACCGCCGACTCAAAATTGGCACGATGGGTACTAGCTGCTGAAGATATATGCTTTAAAAATGCGGTGCTTTCATATATTTTCCGGCTTGGTGTGTGATATTGATCAATTTTGTATTTTACATTCTCTCAGTTTTCTTCTTGCTATATCAAGTAGTGGAATTTTTATTAATTTTGTTTTGAATTCTCTTGGACCATATTACTTAAATTGGAAGTCTTGTTAATTTTGAATGTTCTTGAAAATTTTGAGTATCACTATTCATTAGCTGCCAAACCGATTTCAAAGGTTCCGTTTGGTGGGATGTTCTGGAAATGCAATATGAAATTCAAGGCTGGGAGTTTGTAAAGTAATCAATCAATATGGTCTTAACTCTTGACACAGTGTGGCCTCATCTTGGAAGTAAAACTATTGTGCAACATCAATTAGGAACAAGGCAAACGTTAAGTATTCTTTATTGTTTGTTTTATGAGATATGAAAATAATTGCAGGGAGGTTTTTTATATATTATCCTCATGGCATATATTATCATTGTGGCAAAGCGGTGTTCCATGCTATGTTCTGCTTAGCCAATAACTTTTCAAGCATGTTATTTTTCTTATTTATTACTTGAGCAAGATTATCTCAGATACTATAGCAAGGTAAAGACTGATTTAGACAATTCAAACTTTTCTGGGTTTCCACCAATCTGGGCTACGAGAATTTGAGGAAATTAACTGAGAGTCTGAGAGAAAATGTCAGATGAATAGCACAACGGTTTGAGTCTTTGACTATATCCATAGAACGTTGCATTGAATTATTGATGTTTGTGAAAGGTAGATTAACAAACTCCATGATAATTGAACATACAAAGTACATATCTTAAATTTGTCGATGAATGATGTTGAGAAGTGCAGGGTCTGTACTACTATTTCTAATGCGTTTCGTGTGGAAGACCTATTATTGGAAATACTTGGGTTATCTAGTCAAAAAAAGGAAAAAATTTGATAGTAAACAAAACTTTCATTTCATTGATAGAGAAAAAAATACATCAATGGTCGATAAAAAATCCACTGAGAAAACAAAACAAAGCAAAGAAAATCAAAACAAAATAAAAAAGCTAGCCACTACAAACAGCATTTCAATTATATTGGACTATTGATAACGTAGTTCTATGAAACCCCTTTGTGACCACAACCCATAAAAGAAGCCACATAACTCTATCCCATAACAATTCCTTTTATTCCTCATTTTCTTAAAAAATTCTGCAGTTCCTATCTATCCAAACAACCTAAAAGATAACTAATATTGCGCAGTGCCATAAAATTGAAGCTTTTTTTTTTTTTTATCATTTCCAAAACTGCCAAAACAGAAGCACAATTAAGGGGTGTAACCCATACCAAATCTGCCTCCACCAACAATCTATGCCACAAGAAACGAGCAATAGTGCAGTGATGGATAAATGGTGAACACTTTCACAACTATTCTTGCATAAAATACACCAATGAGGAGAAATATTAGTGTTTGACCTTCTCTTTTACAACAGATCACAAGTATTCACCTTTTCTCTAATCAAGCATCTTCACTTTAATAGGAACTCTTGTCTTCCAAATCATAGAATGAGGTTCAAATATAGATATAGAATCACTGGGATCATCAATTACCCAGTCAAATATGGAGGTGTAAATATCATAAGCATATGTTTGGCTATTTGTTGAGCATGAGTTATTGATTCTTAATGTTCTCATTATTTTTGGTGTTCTTATTGTTGTTGTTGTTGTTCTCTTTGCTTTCTTAAGCTTTGCTATGGTTTATTTTTTATCATTAGTTGTCAAATCCCTTTGAGTTGGCTTACTCCTAGCAGTAAATTGTGCAGGGAAATGCATACCCATTACCAGGGGCGCCGGAATATATCAAGAACACATGAACGAAGCTCTTGATCGACTAAATGATGGGGCTTGGGTACTCTCTCTATTACCTTGTAGATTTAACTCTAATACTTCTTGATGGATATTTTTTATTGTGAAAATTATTGTTAACGTTGTTATGGCCTTCATACAGGTCATTAACATGATGTTGTATCTCCCAGATGAATGAAATTGCATCTCCAAATATGTTTTGTGTGATTTTTTTAATAATATGTGATCATTATAATCATTATCTAGGAAGCACGAATACTCCCACAGGGGTGCCGTGGCAGTATCGGACATGTGTCCGACACGAATACGGCCAGGACACGGCCGGACACGTGTCTGGCATGGCTAGAAGTGTCCTGAATAGTGAACTCAATCGGACACGGCCAGGATACGTCTCTAGGACACTGCCAGTCTAGGATACGGCCAAGAATTTTTTTAAAAAAAAATAACTTTTAACTATTAAATATTTATTTTTTGTTACATAACTTATATACTATGAATGTTAATAGATGCAATAATGTTTAATGAAAATAATGGATATTTAATTTGATCTATTTCAATTTTAATCAAAAAAATAATATTTGCTAGGTCTTATTATTAATATTGTTATAATATATGTTTTATTTTTAATATATTACAACTCTATTATTATTCAAAAAATATATTATATTATTTTAATAGTCGTATCCTTGTCGTACCCGTGTCCCATATTTTTTAACTTTGTCGTATCCCCGTATCCGTATCATATCGGATACGACACCCATGTTTGTAACTTCCTAGATCATTATCCATTGGAATATATGATTTGATCCGTCCATAAGAATTATTGAGGCCCAATGCTATTGATGAGGCGATTTGGTATGTGAAGCATTGTGGCTGGGGCCTGTGTTTGGCAATGTTAACCTGTGACACTTCTTATTAGAAATGCCCTTGCTTTGAGATTGTTGGAATAGATTTAGAGGTAATTTTGGTAATTTTAGGAATATAGTTATCTTGCTCAGGATGAGAAAATATAGGAATCTAGTTTGGTGTAATTATGGTTTCTTGTATTTGTTATTCTAGTCATCATTGACCATCTTCACCTCCATCTCTGTCATTGAGTTGAAGTTCAGAATCACTGAAGTTTATTGAAGTCTCTCAACAGTGTTGTATTCTTTTTTGAGTTGTCTTGTGGACTGAATTAAAGAAAAGCCCTAGGGGGTTACCTCTCTGTTCTACACCGGCTTCTTCGCTGTGTAATTATTGAAAAGTTCAAAAGTTTTCTTTGACAAACTCGTTGTTCATGGAAATCTGCATGGTTAATCTGAAACTTAAATTTTAGTACTATGTTTCTTATCCTTGACCTTTCATCTTCTAATGTTTCCTCTTTGCCTCTTCTCTAAGTTTTTACATTTATTTGTGCAATTAAAGGTTCTTTGGCATGCTATTTAATTGATTGTGATTTAGTTTCAATGCAGATTGCTTGCCTCAAACAAATGATATATACATCTGAAATTGGCTCATCTTTTGTCTTCCAGTTGTTTGGTTTT